CCCTTCTCCCCGTCTCAATACTATCCTCTCCCATCCTAATTGCTTCTCGCCTCCCTCCCTCCCTCTCTCTCTCTCTCTCTCTCTCTCTCTCTCTCTCTCTCTCTCTCTCTCTCTCTCTCTCTCTCTCTCTCTCTCTCTAACACAGGAATTTCTTCAAGGTTAGGTTAAGAGTTTGTTTACAAGCTCCAAGCTGTTGACTCTCTCAGCTCATTGAAAAGCCTTCCTTAGCATTAACTTTATTGAATCTTTATTGTCATGATACATACAAATAGAGACCAGGATGAAGGAGCCAGCTGTGGGCCAGAAATTTCATTTGGTTAATTGACTTTATTTGATCGATGTCAGTGTGTTGTACGAAAATGTTCCAGACTCGAGTCATTCTAGGAATGAATGATGTCAGATAAAGTGATGTTCTTGAGAAGGGTACAGCTAGAGTGTGGTTGCTGTTTGCTCTCCGTCTTGTGGTACAGAAGCTGTCTTGTCGCTGTCCGTGAAGTGACTCCAAGTGTGGCTCCTCGACAACATTGTACATAACTGTAAGGTCACCCTCATCTCTCCGGTGCTGAAGGCTCTGCTAGAATAATAGATCTATACAGGCCGGGTCCATGCGAGAGATGAGCCATCTTGCTCTGTTCTCCATTCTGTCCAGAAGCCACAGATGACACTGGCGATAGGCAATCCAAGAATGTGGAGCATACTCAAAACATGAGAACACTTGTGCTCACACCTTGAGTTTTGCAGCCTCCGCTGTCGAGCAGGTACGAGGGTACGTCATTGTTCTGTTAGCTTCTTGGATGCCTTGCTTACAGGATTTACCACATAGTTCTTCATGGGCATTTTGGAGTCAAATTTCACCCTTAGGATATCCACCTCATGCCTGGATTCCAACACTCCCATTCATTCTCACCACTCCTCGAGCATTACCATCATGGTGCCTAAAGATCATCATCATTTGTGTTTTCTCAGAACCAAATGTAACCTGTCATTGTTTCTCCCAGGCTGATACACTTAATTGGTGATTGATGTGCCTGAGACTAGCTGGCATTTCTTCTCTTAGATAAGTAAATGTTAAGTATAGTCATTCTCTCTCTCTCTCTCTCTCTCTCTCTCTCTCTCTCTCTCTCTCTCTCTCTCTCTCTCTCTCTCTCTCTCTCTCTCTCTCTCTCTCTCTTTCTCTTTCTCTTTCTCTTTCTCTCTGCCCTGTCCTTACTTTCTTTTTCATCACTTTAAAATACCAACTCACTGAGTTACAGTTGCTGGTGCATCACTGACACAACACACTGCATGAAACTTCAAGGCAAGACGTACAAAGTAAATGTAGGCACGGTATTACACTGTCAGCTGATGTCACTGCCACTAGAATAAAGACCTTTTAAGAAGCAGTTTCTCATATGCTTTGCAAAGATTTTGGATTCAGCTGGAGTGTATGGGGTTATTTAAGGTCCGAGTATGGTAGTGGGCGAAGTGGTGGGAGGTGGGTGGAGTAGTGAGTGGATTAGTAGTCTGTATCAGAGTAATAGGGGCTAGAGGAGTGATCGGTGGGGTGATGTCTGTTGGTAAATGTAGCGGTTAGTGTTAGGTGTTGTGACAGATAGTGTGGTGGGTAGATGAGTGGAGTTTTGGTAGGTGTTGGTGTGGTTAGAGTGGAGTGGTAGGCTCTGAGATGAGGCTGAAGTGGACTCGGGAGTTCTGCTGCTAGTTGTTACATTACCTAGAGCACATCAGCTGCACCACCATTAATAGAAGTAGCTGCAGCAGCAGTAGTCTGTGTAGAGGCTTAATATTTAGAGTTATGGGTTTCGTTGCTTGTAGAACTTTATCAGGTCATGATAAAGCTCCACAAGAAGCGAAACGTCGTCCAAAATAAAAGCTTGTTCTGCATATTGTGTCTTTACACCTGTATCTCCGTCTCCCTCCCCCTCCCTTCTCTTATCGCTCACTTCCTCATCCTGCCTCCTATTTTCGTTCACTCCCTCACTCTCTTCCTCATTTTCTCATTTCAGTGACTTTTCGTTTCTGGTCGTTTTGGGAGGACACTTCGTTTTGCTAGCGTATTTATTGCTATTTCGTTTTTCACTCTTTCTCGTTTGCACATGTATCTTTGTTTATCTTGGCCATTAAGAGAAATAGGTTGAAATTAAGATACAGCATGAGGTCAGACGATCATTAGAGAATGAAGGTCAAAAATTAACTTTAGAGAATGGGAAAGGGGTCAGATAAGGACGGAGAGAAGTTCAGAAAAAAAAAACGGAAATGAGGATAGAGGGTCAGAGAAAGAGGACAATCAAAGAGGATAGAAGGTAGGAGTGGGATAGGAGTAAAGATATGGATAGGAGAGGATGAAGAGCAGCAGTAGTATAATCCTAGAAAGCACTAGACCCCTTCGGGTCTTTCAGCGCAGGAAGGAATGAACTATTATAGGAAAATAAACTATCATATTATCATCACAGTTAGGCAGGTGAACCATATATTTTCACTATATGATGGAGACAGACTTGACACAAACACTATTTTATCCTCGAGTTACTTTTGACTAATGACGTGAATTTTATAATCAAGAGGTATTTGTTTCTGCCTCTCGCTTTAAAAATCAGGGAAAAAATGCACATTTGTATATTACATTGGAACTGGATCTGGTCAAAAGTATTGTGGCGCAGCATTTTGATGTGTGTGTACGAACACAAGCAGTGATCGCCTCATCTAGTACTGTAGGCTCCCTTTTATGTTTTCAATTTCATGAGCATGATACATGCCGATTGAATGAGTGCCTTGGCCATGGCCACACTAAGGCATGACGCTGAAGAGTCCAGAGAGACCTGGGGACAAAATATGATCCTCACATGTCCTACCTATTACTACTAGGTTCATTCTCAACGTGGGAATTTTGGATTTTATCTTCGTCGTAGCTCAGGGAGAGCCTGTCTTCATACTTTGCTGTGTTGTGTCACGAACCTTCCTGGCTCCTTGATGCTGCCCTGGATCACCAGAATTATGCCAGATTGATCCTCGCGCACATCCCTGACAAGGAAAGTCTAAATCCATCTATCTGGAAGGAATTCGCGGAGCATGGCTACTGGGTTGTCCCAGTGGCTAAGTTTTCGACGATACCAATAGACCAGGTCCACAAGCAAAACACGAACACGGTTATGTCTTCGGGTGGTACAGATAGCATTGTTTATGACCCATGTTGACATCTGCAGATTGTACATTATGATGCAGCACGGATAAACAGACATGGGCACATTCTTCAAGCATGAAAATTACCCATATTATCCATATGATCCTCACATATCTGATATGGAAAAACTACAACTGGGAAATAAGGCTGATCTCTTGACCATGCCGCCAGATGCCCCAAGCGAATTTAACATGAAAATCTTAGTGGAACTGTGTCACACCTTTCGCCTAGTAGTGTCAACACCTTCAGTCACTATGCAGATGAAGTCTTCCTGGCACACATGACATGACTGGAGAACTCTACCATGGTAGATGTGTGTAGGACACTTAATTACCAGCAATATTAAGGAGTCAACAAGAGAGAGGGGCAGTGGTATTTGCAGGAAGATAGCTTACCAGGACAAAATTCCCGGGAACTGACTCGATTTCCTGCGGGATCCAAGCAAGCATGAACTTTTCTAATTCCTTTCTAGCAAGATTGCAAACATGTACTTCCGCCTGGAAAGGAGGCTGGCATCACCTCAGACCAGGGAGTGGTCGGTCTCCAGAGGAAGGAGTCAGAACATAATCTCATGCAATCGCCAGGAAGCGGACAATAACGTTCTGATTCACCTGTAAGATGGATTAAATTGAGGCTTATCATCTTGTCTGATTCGAACAGTGGATTCAGATGTGATGCTGGTCGAAAAGTTATATATTCTGTTGACGGTGTGTCTAGCTACAAACACATGGGATTTTGGTACTGGAAACAATTTCATACATCTGCATGTCAATATATCGCTCGTGAATGAAGAGAAGAGCAAGCCCAGGCCTTGCCTGTCTTCCGCAGGTTAACAAGTTGTGATAATACATCTGCCTTCTTTGGAAAGAGCAAAAAATTTATATGGACAACATGAAGTCTTACGCTCAAGCCGCAGCTTTCTCTTATACTGCGTCAGTACTCACGGTGAGTTAGATGTGGAGAGCGATATTAAGCTTCTTGAATGCTACACAATTGCCCTTGAAAGAAAACCAACAACCAGGTTCCTGCCAACGAGGCACGCAGATTGCATTGTTTGAGCACTCAAGGCGAGCTGTTTACTAGGCTGGGATGTGCACCACGAGTGACTTGACACTGCCAAAAACAAAACTTCATCTTCTGAGGGACGAGGCTGGACTCTTGATAATGTTTGCAAACCTAGGCTTCCTGTGTCTGTCACGCTCCCCATGGCATCAGAGGCATACAACGAACTGATTTAAGTGTGGCTGTAAGTTCATGTAAGATTGTGGTGGGAGAAGTACTTGCTAAAAGGGCCCAATTGAAGTGCACATAACTTGGTAGCTGTAAATATATTAGACACCGAAGAACGACCAGCATTCACATGTAGAACTTTCAGCCAAATTACGTTGATGTAACAATGAGAAATAATGTTGGTTTTGGGATCACGGGTTGCCTTAACTCAGTAATTTCTTGAGAACTACATGGTTCTTGCCAACAACCGACGTGTAACACACACATTATTCCCTTCAAGAGGATGTCTTGATGGTGGTTAAGGGCTCTTGAACCAAGGATTTGGAGCTGCCCTCCCTCTCCTCGAATCATTTCTCCAGTTCGCCCAAGTAAAGGAATAAATAAAAGAAACATGTGTTTGTAATAACTCTGATATGTTTACTGTTCATAGGTGACAGGAGAAAGATAGGCAGGTGTGGCACACGTACATGTGGGCTGAGCCCATACCTGGGTCGAACCCACACTTGCGACACACACACACACAACAACACACACACACACACACACACACACACACACACACACACACACACCACACACATCGCATCCACACAAACACATACACATAGCCCGCGCCCACACCTGCGGTACACAGACACATGGGCCAATTCCACACCTATTTATACACGACTCTGACGCTCACGCCCACCACGCCCACACCCACCTCCATAATATGAGCCTTGAGTTCAGAGTTAAAATATCTGAATTTTTCAGGAGAGATAAAATTCAATTTGATTTTTTTTTGGTCTGAAAATGCCAAATTCTGCATATGCACAGAGCTTGCAACCCAGGCACGGGAGCTCAGAGCTTGGAGAGGACTCGTATCTTGGAGGTAGAGGTTGCAGAGTGAGAGGCATCCCTTACTAGCAGAGGTCGGCCTACGGCAGGGAGGGAGGGGCTATATTTGCCTCTAACTCTTCTTATTCTCCTTTATTCTTCTCCTCTTTCTCCACCTTAATATCCCTCTTTTCATTTGTCTTCACCCTATCTTCTTCACTTTATTGTCCCGCTACTCTTTTCTCATCTTAATCCCCCTCTTTCTTCCTTTATCTCCCTCTTCTCTTTCTCTCCCTCTCTCGCGCCTACCACCCAGTTTCGCAACGAAAACATATTTACAAAGAACGCACCGTACGAGGGAAGAAAGTATAATAAGCGTAAAAAGATAAACCATATGATCATATATCACAATATTATTGATAAAACACGCAGGTAAAGTTACGGTCGTGTGGGGCAGGTGTTCCCTCGCGGGTGTTCCCTGCCAGGTGTTCCCTGCCAGGTGTCCCCTCTCAGGGGTTCCCTCGTGGTTGTTCTCAGCTAGGTGTTCTCTTCCAGGTATTTTTGCTAGGTGTTCCTCGCGACTGTTGTTAGTAGCGCCTAACTTGGCCACCCAGAAATATCTGACAGATGTTCCTAAGGTTTCAGCTGTTGGTGTGGCCCACTTCGATAACTCGAGCGAAGTCTGTGAGATTCAGCTTTCCTTCACACTATAGTCATGGTGATATAAAGTTTGGTCTAGACAAAAGTTCACTGCGGAAACCGATAGAAAGTCACCTTGTAAATCCTGCACCATCTTAGCCGCTTCACCATGGATGTGAGATACTTGGTGTCTGTGTGAGGTGTTTGCCTCATCTGCTTCTTCCATGGTTTGCTGAGTTCTAAAGGAGCTTTTATTATCACATGTGAAATGCTAAATTGTATGGGTTATGCAGATAGATTCCTAAGATTAAGAGCCCCTCACCTGGTTCTAGGCACCTCTCTTAAAGGGAAGTTTACTTCTTCATTTGTACCTCAAACTTGATGAATTTAGGGAACGGTAATTCTTGCATTAAGATGTTGAACAGTTTGGCTAAGTATTTAGTGTCATGTGGAGATTCATGACGAATCGATTCCCGTTGACGTAATGTCACTGATGACGACCGTTAGCTACGACCCTTGAGGGAAGGGAGGGAAGGGTTGAAGTGATATGAGTGACCCAGGAGGTGAACGTGCTGGAAGGATCACTACCACAACTCGACCGTACTAACAAGTTTGACACATGATACCTTTTAGGGCTCCCTCAAAGGTTCATTTTGAACCAAACGTCGGAGACCCCCGGTAAAAACGCGATCTCCATGGCCCATCAGGGCGCGATTAACGTCATCAACAAGCTCGTTTTGTTTCATCGTAGAGCTTTTTTCTTTGCCAACTGAGGCGTCGAGGACTAATCATTCTCACTGTCTTCGTTATTAGAGCCTCCCAGTTCGTCGGTGACATTGATGTCCTCGTCGGAGTAGTCGCCGTCGGCCTCTTGGTATGGAAAGGCGTACGGTCCCGACGCCTTTCCGTAGCTGGAGAGTGACGACAGGTCCTTGATCTGTATCTTAGCCGGCATCGACGACGCCAGCGACGACGAGAAGGCGTCCGTTCTGGCCTGTTGTCCGACGAAGGCGTCATCCTCGCTTCGGCCCTGGTAGTCCTGGTCTTTATGATACAAGTCGTCGCTGGGCTGGAGAGAGAGATCGTCCTTGGAGGTAGCGACGGCGGTGGCGGTCCTGGCGTCGTCGCCGACGTCGGAGAGGTCTGGGTTGGGGTTGTTCTTAGTGGGCAGCGTCTGCTCGCGGGTGCCTCCCGCCGCCAGAAGCTCCCGCTCTTTGGAGTTCCGCCACTTCATCCGCCGGTTTTGGAACCATATTTTCACCTGCGAAGTAGCAAGAGATTGTGAGTTAACATGTGCTGTGTTGCTCCTACTGGTTAAGTTATCCAGCGTTATTAAGAATCTTAGGTGTGTTATCCTTGTCCAACTGCTTATTTGATCCCCGGACCTGGTTTTTGGTACACGCGACTCTCGCCACTAAGTTGTGATCTCAAATCTTAGCTGTAGATTAAAGCATAATGATGGGTCTTCACGACTCAGCCAAGTGGACCCCACCATTAACGTGAATCTTTTTTTTTTTTTTTTTTACGTGGGAAGCGCGGAGACTCGATTCTCTGTAAGTGACCTAACCCTCTGACCTCCCATATGAGAGTGGAGACTATAGCGATCCGACAGTGCGGACGAGTCACTCCGTGCCTTAGATTACCTAAACGGGTTTAGCGCTTCAAGTAAATACATAAATCTTAGCTGTGGACTACCATAGATCATAACTTACACCACACTACGGGTTAAGCCTTACCCCATGAATATAAAGCTAATAATCACTGGTTAATTATTCTGATTTGGATATAAGTAACATACAAAGGACAAGAGTGAAGAGACAAGAATGTTCTGTGACGTGTATCTAGTCTTCAGTAATCTCATCTGTTAAACGAAAATTTTATCAGGAGGCCAAGAGTTGTTGTTCTTAGTGCTGAACTAACGTTCCTCTTAAATGAACAAAAAGCAGGACTCGGGAATAAAAATAAATTACTATGAGCTGTTGCTTGTGAAATCTAAGAATAGTCAACTTGGGAGTTTATTCCCAACTTGATGTCTTTTAAGCAGAGTTAGTGAATGGTAAGTTAGTGGTTAATATTAATGGTAAAGTGTGCAGAGAGGTTGTTAGACAAGTAAATAGGAAGATATTTATCAGTTAGGTAAATGTTTGAGGAGATAGTTACCTAGGAGATACTGATCATTAGTATCGGGAGTTAGGTACGAGTACCCAAGAGATGTTAGTCAATAAAAATCAACTGAACTGAGTCATTTAGGATAAGAGAAATTTAGATGTGGTCAGGTGTAAACAATGGTTAGTGTCAGAATTTTTAGACAGAGCTTGCGGGCTTAGCTCATAAAGCAACGATAGTTTTGTCAATTAGTGTGTAAAAACTCACTGTTGCAATAGCCCCGTAAAAATCAATCCAAATATCACGAAATTAAAACATTTCATTGATGTTCAATAATGCTAGCTCAGTTGAGGCTGACCTTCTTTAAGGTTAGGTAGGACTGAGTTAAATAATAATATGTTAATTTTAACAAACTTGGGAGAGGCAGCTTAGTTTTGGTGCAAAAATTGTATATTTGTTTACCATATAACTTCACAGAAATCTACCAATCAATGCATATAAAATAGTAGATATATATGTTTAGGGAAGTTCGAGTTACCTTATCGACTCTGCCTAAAATCACGATATAGTCAACTCTCGTATACAACTCCTTCATATAGTGCCACTTTGATAAATGTGATTGAGAAAGCACATCCAGAATTTAATAGCACGTTAAAATTAATTAACAATGCTTATTGTTCAATTTTGGACTCCTTCACTTTGCATTTAAAATATCGCACAATAGAGAATATGGAAGCTTAATGTGTATACTTGGTAGATGTCAGCATCACCAGCATTGTGTGCCCACAGAAACATTTTCAAGAGGGGGGGAAACATACCTTTCTTGAATGAGAAAACTTGCTTAAATGTGCAAAAATCGCGAATAAGCAATACAAGACGCAATACAACCACGGGGGGAGTTGAATGATAGCTCTAGGCTTTTCGTATTGCACTTAACGCATGAGGATCTTGCAGTGTTGCAGAAAAGAGGAGGTCCAAACAAATACGACGAGAAGAAACGTCTTTATCTATTGCAAGCAAATTTAGGATATTTGCTTAATGTCTGGTATCTTATTTTTATTAATAAGATGCCTTGATGTGTCACATAGATTTTTATATTGTATCTATGATTCCTCAAGTGAACAATGAAGCCCATAGTGTGAGATAATGACCATAAGACTGACCACATAATGTGCATTTAATTTGTTCATCTGTGTCTGCTGAACTGTGAGAAGTACATGTTCTAACCAAGCCTAAGCCTGGCTGCTACAACATCAGCCAGTCTGTTTACACTGAACGTTGCTCCCTAAACTCACTACGATAACGTGCTCCTGTTATCATAGTGAGTGATAACACTCAAAATGTGTAAAATAAGATTTATTAAGCACAATATATAAAAGAGAGAAGAAAGTTAAATGAAGAAAACATTTGTTATGTTGTGTAGCCTGCCTGTGACATGAGTTACTCGTTTTAAATGTAATTATTATATGACGAGAATTACTAGGCTTGCTTGGCGTTGCCGTAAATCAGGTCTGGACAAGGCGACCACTGATTGGTTGAAGAAACAAGACTCGCCGTGATTTGTGGAAGTAGTTTTGTAACACAGCTCCTGAGTGGTCGATGAAGTTGTAAGGGCGGCGGTGATTGGTGGCAGCTGTGTTCTGATGGAGTGGAGCGTTAACTCGACAAATGTGTTATTATGACCCGCCAAGATTTATAGCGAGGCGCTGGCTGGCTGGCTGGCTGCCTGCCTCCCAGAGGCACTGGCGGGGAAAAAGAACATTTACCGCCATTGTTTTTAGCTGTGTTTAATGGTTATTGCCAGCGTTTATGTGTGTTCTTAGTGGCGCTACTTGGCAACTTGCTCGTGACGTATACAAAGGCTTTGAGTGTTAGCAACACTGCTAATAACCTGTACAAGGGCTTGACTTTGCAACACTGCTAATGTAATGACTTTTACAAGGACTTGAATTTGCAGCACTGCTAATGACTTGTACAAAGGTTTGACTTTGCAACACTGCTAATAATTGTGCAAAGGTTTTATCTGTGCAGCACTGCTAAAGACTTGCACAAGGGTATGACTTTACAAGATTTTAACTTTGCACCATTGATAATGACTTGTTCAAGTGTTTTTAGTTTGTTACAAACACTGCTGATGGCTTACACAAGGAAGGTTATTTGCACCAATATATATATATATATATATATATATATATATTATATATATATATATATATATATATATATATATATATATATATATATATATATATATATATATGCAAAACAACCACTCTGAAAGAATAGAGAAATTCCAAGCGCTTTCGTGACTACTCACATTATCACGAAAGCGCTTGGAATTTCTCTATTCTTTCAGAGTGGTTGTTTTGCATATTTTGAAATCACCTGTTTACTGTGATCTTATTGCATATATATATATATATATATATATATAATATATATATATATATATATATATATATATATATATATATATATATATATATATCAGTGAATATATGATGAAGGGTGTGTTTTATTCCTTATGCTAAGGGTTAAAGTGTAGAGAAATGATTCAGAGAACCGACAAGTTAATAAATTAGACACACGTGCCACCCTTGGGTATCTAGTGTGGTAATGTTTCACCACACAGTGGCTTCATCAAAAGGAGTTTGAGGTAATCAGTCCCTCAGCCTGTAGCCGACTCCAGTCTGAGGTACTGATTACCTCAAATTCCTTCTGATCTTCGTTTTTCTTTGTGTAGGACTGATGAAGCCACTGTGTGGCGGAACGTTTCCTCAGTAACATACCCAATGTTGCACATGTGTTTAATTTATCAAGGATTAAAGTATTCTTGACGGGTGGTGAAAAAGTCCACAAGCAGCCGTAATGGCCGTCGTGTGGTCGATAGGCTTTTAAACTCAATTAAGTAAGCGGCTTGGTTGGCAGTGCTGAGTGTTTGTGTCTCAGAGCCGGCTTTAAAACAACATCTGTGCTCTTGCTGCTGTCGTTAGTAGTGTCATTCCTAGCTATTACACAGCTACCTCACATATCTTTCCCGATATTGCAGTTGTTGCTGAATTGTAGATAGCTAGCTCAAGGGTGTTTTTAACGCTGCAAGATGCTCACCATGGGTTCCAACACCATCTGTTCTGTTCTTTTTACTGAACACTTGTGGTCAAAGGTCGAGGGGGGGTCACGGAATGTTACGATATATATATATATATATATATATATATATATATATATATATATATATATATATATATATATATATATATAATTATATTTTTTTTTTTCAACAAGTCGGCCGTCTCCCACCGAGGCAGGGTGACCCAAAAAGAAAGAAAATCCCCAAAAAGAAAATACTTTCATCATCATTCAACACTTTCACCTCACTCACACATAATCACTGTTTTTGCAGAGGTGTCCAGAATACAACAGTTTAGAAGTATATACATATAAAAATACACAATATATCCCTCCAAACTGCCAATATCCCAAACCCCTCCTTTAGAGTGCAGGCATTGTGCTTCCCATTTCCAGGTCTCAAGTCCGGTTATATAAAATAACCGGTTTCCCTGAATCCTTTCACTATTTATTACCCTGCTCGCACTCCAACAGCTCGTCAGGTCCCAAATATCATTCGTCTCCATTCACTCCTAACATGCTCACGCACGCTTGCTGGAAGTCCAAACCCCTCGCCCACAACACCTCCTTTACCCCCTCCCTCCAACCTTTTCGAGGACGACCCCTACCCCGCCTTCCTTTCCCTACAGATTTAAATGCTCTCCATGTCATTCTACTTTGATCCATTCTCTCTAAATGACCAAACCACCTCAACAAACCCTCTTCAGCCCTCTGACTAATACTTTTATTAACATCTTCAGAAACGTAGATATTCACTGTGTTCTTAGACTTAGATGTACATTCATAGACGTATATGCATGATCACTGAGCATAGATATGCGTTCATAGAACTAAATGCGCTTTCACAGACGTAATGTGCGTTCACAGACGTAGATAACTCAAACAAAGCAGGTCACACTCGTCACCTCCCCTCCCACCCCGACTCCCTCCACAAGAAACACATTAATTTACCGAAGGGGAATCTGTAACCGTGTGGCGGCCCCTCTCGACACAGGCAGTAATAATACGACTGTGATAAATAAAGGC